GTAAGCGCACCTTGGGGTGCTTACACAGATGATTAGAAATGGGCTAAATTAATATGTGAGAATTAGCGTAGAAGAGGCTAGATAGAAATGGGTCAAGCAGTGTTTAAATGAATACAGTTTGTGTGTTGTTATTTTGGGCATGAGCTAGCAGGCGGCCGGGGTGCTGGGGACGCAGCCCCACCGCCGCTCTTATTTCAACATTGGGGAATATGATTTTAATGTGTGTGACTTTTGTTCATGCTGTATTTGTTTACCTCCGCAAAACTGTGATTCTTTCTCTATCTAAAACACCTGATAGTCATAATAAAGAGCTGAGGCAGGAGGAAGGATGGGTGGGGCTGGTGAGCAGAGGATATAAATAGAAGGAGAAATGAGAAAGAGGAGCAGCAAGAGAACAAGGAGAGGAGGACCTCAGGGGCCAGCCACCTAATCACTTAGACAGCCATGGAATAAGAAGGAAATCAAGATATACAGAAGGAAGAAAAGGAAAAATGATCTATTTTAATAAGCTTTTCTAAGGCCCATTTCTTGGTACTCAGATCAACCAACCTTTTAAGAAATAAACCAAGAATTGTCAAACCAACAATGCAACCTTCCTAATGCTATGACACTTTAATAGAGTTCTTCATGTTGTGGTGACTCCAGACCATAAAATTACTTCATTGTTACATCTTAACTGTAATTTTGTTACTGTTATTAATCATAATGTAAATATCCAATATTTAGAATATCTGATATGTGACCCCCCCCAAAAAAGGTTTGCTACCTGCAGGCTGAGAACTGACTTAGGGTATATCATTAATTCATTTATTTGAAATCCTGTACTTTTTTTTTTGTAAGGCATTTAGTGCTATAAATGTTCCTCTTAGGACAGCCTTCATTACATTGCACAGATTATAATATTCTTTGTCTTCATTTATATAATATTGTTCTTTTTTTTTTCAGTTTTTCCTGGGCTTAATCTGACCCGCAGTCATTCAATAGTGTGTTATTCTCCATGAGTTTAGGCATTCTGTAGTTCCTATGGCTGTTGACATCTAGCTTTATTTCAGTGTGGTCAGATGAAGTGTAAGTAGAGACTTGCTTTGTGTCCTAAAATATGATAATTTATTTTTTTGTCCAAATAACCTGTCAGTTGTGAAAGTGGAATATTGAAGTTGCCCACTATCATTTACTTTCACTATGTTGAAAATAATCTGTTCTTTTACACCTGTTAATATTTGTTTTATGAAATTAGGAATCCCTGTAATTCATATTTTTAGAATCGGGAAAAGTGAGCACTGCTTTGTCAAATGAGAAGTTGATTCCTAATCATGGTATTCAAGGATCTTCTTAGTACGAAGCCAATTAATTTTAAGCTTTAAATTTTCAAACAGAGTTTCCATTTTATATTTTCTGTAGCCAACTTCCTGTTCATCTACCAGTCTGTTTGCAATGGGCGCCCCTGTCTCTGGTGTATTCTGCACCAGGGTGACTCTGTCTCCAGTCTTTTCAAGATGAAACACTGCTTGCAGCCTCCGCCCCAGTTGATTTTCGTACTTAACATTCTGTTTCATGCCTCATGGTTTCACAATGGCAGGACTGAATCAACTTCCATTTTCACAGGAAAAGGAAACTAATAAATTATTTTGCGTGAAAGGCTTGTTATGGGGTCATTGACTTGTTTCCCTCCTTTTCCTAACATGTCGTTTCCTGGAAGTAAACAGGGCGAGTGAAATTGAAGCTTTCACTTCATTCTTCTTCTCCCCAGACAGCGTAACTCTGGTTCATTTGCAGTGCTACATCATATTTTTATACAGCTCCTCATATTTGTATATGTGCACTTACACCCATTGTTATTATTTTAAATGCCTTTAAGCATCAAAAACAAAATACTCTGTGGTTTAACTTTTGACTGAGTAATGACTTACCAGATTTATTAAATCCACACACGTACATCCAATGGGCACCCTTGTCTCTGACATCTAGCTTCATTTCATTGTGGTCAAATGAAGTATAAGATATTATTTCTAAGTTGAGACTTGCTTTGAGTCCTAAAATATGATAATTTTTAGATTTTTTTAGATAAAATTCTCTGACCTGCAGAGAAGAACGTGTATTCAGTGTTTGAGCGTCATGTTCTGTGGAGGTCTATTTGATTTATGATATTTATCTCCAATGTTCAGTTTCTTAATTCACTCCTGTCTTTTCGTTTGTTTAGTTATTTCCTGTCTCACTTTTATTCTTAATTTCTTGAGACCCGGTGTGTTAGCCAGAGTTCTTTAGAGGAACATAACTCACAGACTTATATATGCTACTTATTCTAATGGCTTACAGGCAGCCGTGCCCCAAGAGTGCTAGGACACATGATTAAGCATGCTTCTAAATCTGTAATATTTAAATTTTTTTCTTATACCACGGGAATTTCCAAAACTTAGGGTTGGAGGAAGCTAACTGTAAATGGTTGCGAAATCTTCCACAATGATGCCTTATCTGGCCTGCCTCCTGAAGCTGCATGCATGGCCAATCTAGCGTAGTCTACAGTGATTACACACCTGTCCTCCACGCCTCTCTAGGATAAGCCAGGAAAGCAGTTATGAGAGCATTAACCCTTGTTTTCTTTGAACCAGGTCTTTTGAGGTGGATACCAGGAAGGAAATGGGTTCAAAGTTGATACTCCCAGCTGAGCAATAAGAATCTGCTTAGACAATTTGTGGAGGATAACCCAAGATCCAATTTTCCAGTAAATTATATTAAGATATATTTTTATCTAATAACAATATATTAAAAACAATGCTAGAGTGCCGGGCGGTGGTGGTACACACCTTTAATTCCAGCACTTGGGAGACAGAGGCAGGCGGATCTCTGTGAGTTTGAGGCCAGCATGGTCTACAGAGCTAGTTCCATGACAAGCTCCAACGCTATAGAGAAACCCTGTCTCAAAAAACAAAACAAAACAAACAAACAAAAAAACCAAAAGAACAGTCTAGGAAGGGTTACTATTTTGAATGTGTTCAAGTTTACGTAAATTCAGTAACAATATTGGAAAGGAAAATAGCTGACTAACTCATAACCATTATTATAGAAACAATAACTATTTTAACATTGATTGAAAACTTGCTCTGTGCCCAATGCAAAGAATTTTATGTAAGCCATCTTACTAATTGGAAAGCTATCAGATAAACACAGTGAGCTTTACTTACACAACAAGAGGCACAGGGTCCTTCGTTACAGTTTCTTAAGGAGTAGAGACCAAGCCGTGACCTGCTATATCCTACTTCTCATTCTGAATCAGAATGGACACTGCAAATTACGAGAACAGAATCAGCAGATTAAAAAACAAAAACCCAAGAGAAGTTGGCTGCCTTCCCCAAACTAAATGATTAGTGACGGTGAGGTCAAGTTCAGACATATCTAAGGCACACGTGTTTATGGTTCGTCATAACTGCTGCTGCTGTGAGCAAGAAGGATTCCCTCTCCTCAAACGTGAGGGCTGCTTCCTCTAACACAGACACTAGACTTGGTGTGTCGTATCTGGCCTTGTGGGCAGAAAAAAAAGCTAGACATTGGGCTTCCTTGATTCTGTTGGAGAAAGCATGACCTTTCTCACTCTCTCTCTGTCTTCTGTCTCACGGTTTCTCTATTTCTCTCTACCCACCTCCATAAGTTACTGAGTACCCTCCCCTTTTTTTCCAGCCAAGAAGAAAAGGTTTGCGTTTCCATGTAGGCTATGTAGACAACCTGATTTTCAGCTGACTTGGGTCTCCATGTGGCTCTTCTCTTGGGCTCACTAAACACACTTGCAGCCATCCTCTCTTCTTTAGAAAGGCGTCTGTGCCCCCTGTTGCAGCAACACACAGCTGGTTTTCAGAAAGAGCTGGACTAAATCCTGCAATTGTGGGTCCTGAGCGTTTAGCTGCAATTTGAGACAGTGTCAGCAAAACCTGAAACTGGCCTCCACACAGGAGATAACGTACCCTTCACTTGTCTGGCAGATAGTTTTAGTTTTCTGTCCAACTTTTTGAAAGATGGAATTTTGAAACTATTTTCTTAAGCTCTCAGCATTCTTATTTTAATCTTCCTTGCCCAGGGAACCCGAGATTTTCTCATCGCCTGGATTAGCACAAGCGGGAGTGATTCTTGAAGGTGTTAGGGGTTTTCTCAAAAAGCAATGAGACTTGAAGTACCAGACAATGACTTCTGGATTGAAGCCAAGTCTAAAGTGGCTCTTGATTTTTTTTTTTCCAGCACCTACGAATTTTGACCCGGAAAGTGTTTTTTTTTTTTTTTTTTCTTTCGTATCCTATTCCTTTCAAGTAGTGTACTGAAGCTACAGAAATAAATCAGAAAATTTCCAAACCTGATGAGATCACTTTAAGAATTAAAAGGACAGGTGGTGGAGTACACCTTTAATCCTAGGACTTGGGAAGCAGAGGCAGGTGGATTTTTATAAGTTCGAGGCGAGCCTGGTCTACAGAGCAAGTTCCCGGGAAAGCCGAGGCTATACAAGGATATGGATGGTTTCTGTATTGGGGGAGGGATGGGAAGTGGGAATGGGCTTTTTTTTTTCTTCTTCTTCTTCCTCGCCTTAATCTCTGGAATTGAGAACTCCCAACAAGGAAAGACCTCAAGGACTTTGGGAACTGGAAGGAAGCCTCAGTTACCTGGCGCTGAGCAGTCCCTAGCGGTCGGTCGTTCACCGTTCCACTCTCCAAGAGAAAGGCGGGGGAAGGGTCAGAGGAGAATGTTTGGAAGCAGTGGTTGGAGATAAGGAGGTGGGGTATTCCTGGAGTTAGGGGAAATGGGGGAACAATAGGTAGGAGAACAAGAGAAGAGAGAGGACACCGGACAGAAGAACCTAGGGATAAGGTAGCAGAGATGGGGCTCAGGAAACAGAAAGGTAAGGGGGCGGGGACACCTTGCAGCGGGTCACGGGGCGGGGACGCCAGGTGTAGGAGGCCCGGCGTCTGCGTGGGAGGAGCGAGCTGGAGCCGGGAGTGATTCACCTTTCCCGGCCCTCCTGGCTCGCCCCAACTCCGGATCTGGGCGGAGGGACCCTGGGGCGTGTTTCCCCACCCCTTGCGGACTTCGGAACCGACTCGGACAGACTGGCGCCGGAACAGGAGTGGTCTCTACTGGACGACAGCTTGGTGGGTTCGGGTCCTGCAAGAATGCGGGCCCTGTCGGCCGTGGACGCACTTGCCAGAATGCGACCCCCTCTCCGGGACCCCAGGGCTGCAGAGGACACTCATCCGGCGCTGCCAGCGCGCAAGAGCGCGGTGGAGAGACTGGCGGCCGACCGCGCCAAGTACGTTCGGAGCACGCCGGGATCCAGCCAGGGTTCTGTCTCCGAGGGCAGGGTCCCTGAGACCCCAGGGGTGCAGCACCGCAACCCAGTTCCTTCGGCTGTTACTCCAGTTCCCGTAGCCCGCAGGGTTATCCCTCGGAAGCCGCTGAGACCTGATTCGTTGGTCATCTACCGACAGAAATGCGAATTCGTCCGAGGGCCAGGAGCAGACGGTTCCAGAGTCGGGACGGTGAAGAAGTTTTCCCAGGGGTCTCCCAAGGACAAAATACCAGTGGCCCCTGAGACGACCGTGGTGTCAGGTGAGGGCAAGACGAAGGAAACAGAGGCCACTTGGACCAAGTCCGATCAGGCGGTTGCCACTAGCCCAGCCTCTCCGTTATCACCTCCCACCCCTGTAGTGGCCACGGAGTCCCCAGGTGTGCCTTTGAAGGTGGCTTCAGAGGTTCCAGTTGCACCCTCCGCAGGGGAGCTACGGGTGTCGCGTCGCAGAGGATTGCAGCGCTCTCAGTCAGATCTCAGCTCCCGCTACTCGATAGCCAGGGCCGAACCCGACAACTTCTTCCTTTATTGCGGCCTGGAACCTGAAGTGGTGGAGGCTCTTGGGAGAGAGAACTTCTCTGCTGGGTCCGACTGTGTTACATTCAAAGTGCGGAGCGTGAGCATGGCTACTTCTGATAGTAGCTTCTCCAGGCACAGCGAGGACGGGCTGCAAGAAGAGGAGCTCATGGAGCAGATGCCCAGCACCACCTCTGTAGTAGAAAGGAACGCCCGTATCATAAAGTGGCTGTTTACCTGCAAGAAGGCCAAAGAAACCCCCAGCCAGAGGTTGCAGGGACCTGCCTGATTGACGTTTGATCCAGGTTAGAGGGTGGGGGGTGTGTTTATATGTGTTAACTAAACTGGGTGCTGGCCAATCACAGCTCCTGGTTAGAAAACAGAGCCTACAGTGTGAGGGCTTGCAGTTGCCCTCCTGGTGTTGAATTTGAATACCTGGAAAGGTCATTCCGTTAACGCTCTCCCTGCTGGTTTATTGCAGTGTAGCTGGTAGAAGGCAGAAGTACTAAATGGTCCAACCGGCAGTCTCACGCTCCCATTAACTCCTGTTTTGAAAGAAAACTCTGAGGCTTAGGCCGTTTTGCACCCGGCCAAACTCCTGGTGGGCCTTTCTGGTGTCTACCTGGCATTCAAAGCTCCCCTTCAGCCCTGATATCTTACTTCCAGCAAGACGCTGGGGATCCCCCACCCCCATCCTAGGCTATGAGGTTTTGAGATCTTGGTACTCCTTTAGCAAGAAAAATATGTTTTGTTTTGGTTTTTGTTGTGGTGGTTTTTGTTTGTTTGCTTGCTTGTTTTGCCAGAGATGATAATACAGAGTGTAAGCACCTCCTGGTCTAGGAAGTAACCACACACTTCTCTGTCCTCGGCCTGTGCAAAGATGCTAAGGTTGCACACCTCCTTTCTCTTTTGTTTCGAATATACCTTGGGAGCAGGAAGGAAAAGACACCTTTAAAGGAGTATTGTTGCGAACAAGGCATTTAAATATTTCAGCAGGTTTTTTTTTCATTCTGCCTTTGAGAGCAAGTTACTGTGAAAATTTTTAAAAATCACATTTTCTGTCCCTGAGATAAATACTAACTGAAGACACCTTATTAGAAAATGAAATTCCATGGGGGATTAGATGCTTATATTCAGCCAACCTATGTTTATGAATGAGCTATTGAGTGGTCTTTATACAGATAGAAAAATAGTAAGGCAACAGGAATTATTTTTTCTTGCTTTCAGAAGACTCAACCTTAACTGTTTCATTATAATTTATTGAAGATTTGCATATTGCACTAGTTCAAGTTCCCAAGGAAGGTATAGAAATAATAACAATAAAATAATAGAAAAAGTTGCATCCGTTTGTATTTTCACGAAATTGTCTTTGAATCTGAGCCGTGTGGTTGATGGCAAGGGTACCATGGTGCAGCTCTGAACACTGAGACATAGAGGGGGTAGTGGATGAGTAGGTATGGAGAGAGAAGAAACAGCGAAGGGCTCAGCCCACCTCACAGGCACACATGCTAGGGCTGACTTAGTCATCTATAAAAGGAAAGGAGACAGAAAGGTTGTTCTGCTTTGGTGTTTTCTTTTCTGTGTAGCCAATAATCTACATTTGTTGGTGGTGTTGTTCTGAGAGTGGTGCACAGGGGAGAAAAAATTGCCTATTTGAATGAGACATAAGAAAACATAGATTGCCCTAAGATAAACTTAGGGTGTAAAAAATGTTGGGGTAACAAGATGCCGTACCGATAAGCTAAAGTAAAACCCAGAGAATACTCACCCCTCTTTTCTCAAGACTTCCGGATGGTTTTGGCATCATCACATGAAATTTGCTCCATTACCTTAATCTACTAAAAGATTAGCACAAAGCAGCCTGTGGTATATAAGCACTGCAGAGATATCTGGAACCTTGGGACGGTGAAGTGACATTGCTGGGCACTCTCTAGCTCCTCGAGCTGGTGTTTGAGCCCACAGCTCCATTCACCTACTCTGATCCAGGTGGCTAACCCCAAAGCTGAGAGTAAAGTGTGCGTCTGTGGTTCTAGTTTTTCTTCTAGCTTACGTTTGTGTTGAAATAGGATTGCAGGGAAATTACAGAGTATCTGAGATGATCAAAGGTGGGATTTAGGAGTGAAAGACTGAATGCCATTTACGACAGTGGTTCTCAACCCAAGGGTTGTAGACCCCCTTTGGAGCTCTAACAACCCTTGCACAGGTGTCGACAAAGACCATCGGAAAACACAGATATTTATATTACTATTCATAACAGAAAAATTAGAGTTCTGAAGTAGCAAGGAAAATACTTTTGTGGTTGGGGGTCACCACACCTGAAGAACTGCATTAAAGGGTTGAAGCAATAGGAAGGTCGAGAACCACTTATGTTAATGAGTATTTTGTTCACTTAGTAGACAGAGACCTATAATTTATAATAAAATATCCTTCTTGGAATTAAAGCATAAGTTTATAGGTTTCTTACCCAGTGGAATAAAAATGCTTGCTGGTCAAAATAGAAAATAGTGTAACTGCATACAAATCATAGAATTTTCACACCACCCTGTAGTGTTCTATCAGACAGCCTACCTTGTTTTTGGTTTTGTTGCCCAGCCCTAGGCCAGTATTCCTAGGTGGAAGGTTTTGTCAGTATTCCACTGCATGAGCTATTGAAAGAAAAGAGAAATCTCAAAATTCCAGGAAAAGGCTTGTAGAGAGAGATAGTTTTCTATCAAAGAACCCAGATCAAAGCTCTCTTTCACATACCTAAAATTTTTTTTTTCAAAATTTAAAACACAAGAAAGATGTATTGAAATAATAGAACTATTATAAAACCAAAGAAAGGAGAGGCCATGTTCTCTTGTACATTTTATAGCAGATGAGATGTGACTCATGGTTTTTTTCTGTTTTCTTCACAGGAAGCAAACTTTTCCATGATGAAGGGACCCTTAGATTGAATGGACTCCTGAGCCATGTGTTTGGTTCTGTTGACCAGGCTTGTATATTAGCCATGGTGAAGTGCCGTGGTGAAGATGGGAGGGAAGATATTAGTAGCTGTGAGAGGCAGCCTCCTTGTAAGAGTACATCTCAAAAGGCAGCTGAAGAAAGGATAGCTGTTGGAGAATATTTTCAGGACTTTTTTTTTTTTGTCTGACGTACTGACAGTTTCTGCAATGTGTTTTGATAATATGTAAATATATGCTTTCAAAGAAAAGAAGAAAGTATGAAATCAAGCATGGATGCGGTAGTATACTCCTTTCAACTAATTTATGCTACTTAAAGTTATGTAAGCACAAAGAGGCATCAGTGTGGCTGACACAATCACTTGGCACTTACATTGGTTTCCTATACTATACAACCGACAGTCTTTTGTAATGATTTGAAGAGGACATTTAAAATCACTTTAAGGCTTCGTGGTTCATTTTGTTAATGCCACTTTCTTCTTGGCCATAAATATATAAAAACACCCATTGGGAGATTCATAAGACTAGAGAGCATGCAAAAAAAAAGTGGGGGTCCTCTTTGCACTTGTTCAACGTATGTGTAATTAGGGAGGTCCATAAGAGCCTGGAATATAAGATAACAAGTATTTACTTATTTGGGGAAAAAAAACTCACAATAAAGATAGAGAGCCACAGTCCTCTGTGGACACTGGAAGCTATGAGCCGAACTCTGACCACCAACCAAGAGAAAGCAAGCACGTTTCTTGTCTGTGTTTATGGTACCTCAGACCATACCCTAATGGGCCAATACCCAAGAGGCTATTGGCTGAATTAATTCCCACAACACCTCCTCCTTTTGTCTAAATAAGAGAGTTCTAAACCCAATACAAAACTATATAAAATAAGAACAAATATCAAGTATTGTCCAGGAAAAAGAAAAGGCAAAAATATATACACAAAAATAGAACTACAACCCACATGAACAGCCTCAAGCAAGAAACACAAGCTACATGTTCAGTCTAAGGTAATGAGCAAATGACAGAGATTATTTCAATAGCTGCCTTATCCTGAGAAGTCTAAATCTTGTACTAAAATGTCTTAGCCAAGTTATGAAAGGAAAGTAGCTATGACTGTTTAGTCTTCAACTCCATCAAAGACCTGAGAAGGAAAATAGTATACCTGAGTAAGCAATGGTGTAAGCAAACAACTTCCAAAAGGTGTGAGAAATGACAGAAACAGCTGGCTACCTGGACAGTCATCCACAGTCTCATTTGTAATTTTGGGGCAACCAAATTTGGCTAAGACCTAGAGCATCTGACAAACCATTTTCAGAGGCAGGAAAATTCAAAAGACTGTCCTATCCTGTCTTCACAAGGTTCAGCAGTCATTTTTGCTTGTATCTTGTTTCTCAGGTTTGGACAGCGTGCATTTTGTCAGTAGTAAAGGCAAGGGAAATTCTTTGCCCCAATACTAGTTTTGCCAAGAAGAAAACAAGCTCTAAGTGGAGTATCTTCAGTGTTCAACATTCTCTCAAGAGTAGATCAGTGCTGCCAGGAGCAATCGTGTCTTGTGTCAGCAGAATCCTGAGTTATTTAGATGTCATATTCTATAGTTCTTTGAGGAATTTGAAGATTACTCATCCATGTGGAATACAATCTCTGTGCATTTAGAGAATCTGATTAGTCTAACTCTAAGTATGGCAAGTATGGGTGACTATTGACTTATAATTCTTGAAACTGTATAGCTTAAAGACTAAGGTTTCACATTATAAAATAGTCTTTAAACAGATATGCAGTAAATGAGGACAATGACCCCAAAATGTAAACAATCTATGTAAGTATCTTGATCAGAGATAGAAATGTATAGTGCAATATGAAAAATATACCCTAAAATTGCATCAATATCCAAAATGTCTTAAGCAGAGGTAGAAACATGCATGCATACAATATGACAGAATAACTTTGCATAAGTGCACAAATATTGTAAACAGAAATAGGAGCATATCCAATATAATAAATATAATTTTAATTTGTATTAATATTCAAATTATCTTAGACAAGGGTACAAAGATTATTTTACAGTTCAGTTTCTTGTGATTTGGCCAGTACCTAAGGAGGCCTGTTAGTTCTTTCACAATGTTCCCAGTAGAGTGTACTACATAGCACCCTCATCCTTACTCTAACAGGGATACTTACTCTAACTGGTTCACACATAAGGAGCACTTCCCTGGCCTGGGGTCTGGTTCCACTTCACATACCATAAAATTAATTTTGGCATCCATTCATTGTTTGCAGAGGATGTGTTTGGAAGCAAGGGCTGCTCCTGGGGTTTGTGAGGTTCTAGGTTCTGAGTATGTGTAAAAAGTTACTGAGCCCCGGGTTATGAACTTGTGTGTAATGTTCACAATAAAAGAATTTTAGATTCAGAATGTTCTGAGAGAAACTATGTGTGAACAACAACTTCCCAAAAATTGTCAGTCAATTCTTTGAAAGTTTACTGTATTTTTTTCAAAATGTATTCCTTAATTTTTAAAGTAAGATATGAGAAAAGATTGTGGATGGAATTTCTAAATGGTAATATTTTATGTCATTCCATTTTGAAATGTCTGTACTTTAGTTTAAAATGTATTATGTGTAACTGTTTTAAGAGTATCTTTTTAGTCACAAAAATATTTAGTTTTGCATTTTCTAGTCCTCAGGTGGCTTTCTTTTATTTCACATGGCTTCCCTTTCCCCAGCTCATTTTTACATTATTTTCTCTTTTGCCATCTTTCCATGCACACTGTTTATTTGAGCATTTATCTTTTGTTTGCAAGTGGAGCTCTGTGAGACTTGTTTCAAATATGTCACAAATGATTATTCTTGGGGTTTTGCCTCTGGAGCCGGCTTGGGAAGTGTGACCTGTGCCACCCCACCCGAGCTGCTGTTCTGCATATCACTGTGTCACACTTCGTTTCAAGAGGTGTCACAGTGACAGCAGTTTGTAAAAGATCTTTCAGTATGTGCAATTCTTTATTTTCAGGTGTCCCATTAGTTTTATTTGTAAATGTCTTAAGAGAAAGAGTTTGGGGTGGAGACGATTTAGCAGTTAAGAGGGCATGAAATTTATACGTTTGTCACCTGTGTGTTAAGTTAATGTTACAAAGAATGGCGTATAAATAATGTAATTAGATATGTTGGAAAGAAGATAGTAATGACAGCCATTCAATGGTAACCTTTTGAACTGCTACATGTGAATAGAGTAACAGTGTCCAGATTAAAAGATAGTGATATGCCAGGGGTTTTCCTCATTCTCTATGAAAATATTTATATCTACATCTCTCTGGCAGTAGAAGAAAAGGTGACTTCGCTGTTCCGTGCTTGTTCCAAGAGTTTATTGCAATGCTGCCATTGCTACTGCCTTGACCTTGGCATATGACTGCCAACAGGTGGGGCAGTCCTGAAGTGAGGTTGTGGTACTGTGATCTTCTCCTCGCCAAAGGAAAGCCTTTGCAGACTTGGTCAAAGGAGATGCATTGTGTTTGAAGTCTGCAGCTCTCCTACCTATGTTTATATTTACTATATGGCTGCATTAAAACTATTTTAGAGTATTTAGCTCTTTGGTTTTCCTTAAATATACCATGAATCATATGCTTTAAAATAGTTCTTTTCATGTTTTAGTACTAGCATCCATCACTGAAAAAATGAACTTCAAAATAAAATGAAAACACTGTATCTTTATCATTCATTCATTCATTCATTCATTCATTCAGGGAAGGCTACTGTGAATTTTTTAAGTTGGTTCCCTATCTGTCCAGCACAGCTGGGTCTGTGTGGACCTGAAGGTAAGGTAGGTGAGGAAGTCTGGTCTCTTGTGGCAGTAACCAAGCCAGGCCAGTTTCACTTTCACACTTGCTATGACTTATGCCTACATGGAACAGTATCCAAGGGATCCAGTGTCTTCTTCCCAGCCTCCGTACATTCATGCGCATATGTGATGCATATGAATTCACTCAACCCAACACAGGTATACACATTTTAAAAATTCTTAAAAAAATAGAATTATTTTTTCTTAGCAATTGGAAGTCTGAACTACAATAGCAGAATGGCCTGGTTCTTCTATAGACCTGTTGCTCAATTTGAACTTACTTAGGACTTTTTCCAGAAAAGGACATTGAAGCTTTTTTAATTTCATATACCCACTGTCCACTTATCTGATATAAAAACGACAGTGCGATTTATTAAAAGTTGCTTTCCCAGTGTGTCACTGATGGCAATGACAGAATTCGTTCACCTGCATATTTCAAGGAATCCGGTGCTAAAGTTGGTACTGAAATTCACCTTGTTCCCTAACTCCTCCAACCCCCCATTCCAGTATGAAACAAGATAACAAGGAAAGAGAGATGATGGACAAATGAATGTATTGACATAGAGAAATGGAAATGAAGGAAGAGAACGTGTAAAGAAAGAAACAAAGCAGGTAAGAATCGTGATGCTAGACCTATGAAATTTATGGTTTCATTCATTTCATTCATGGTTTCTATTTGATGTAGTATTCCTGAGCTACAAATGGATCTGAAAGTCCAAATCACATAAAGAGAATCAAATAAAAGGCAAGGGAAGCATACCTTTTTAAGTGGCAGATAATTCTCTACACTGTTATCAATTGTTCAGCTTTGAAGCTTACACTGAAGAGAAAAAGTACTCACAAATGATGCTCAGGAAACCTACATCTAGTTGGTTGTTGTTCAGGGACTATATACTGTAGCACGAATAATAAAAGCTTAGAGACAGATATTAGGGTTCAACCTGAAGATCAGAAAAGCAAAGACGCTAAGCTACTAGAGAGCTCTTTCCTCTATGAACTCTTCAGACTGACAGAGAGAGTTCCTGTCTCATCCTGCCTTATATTCCTCTCTAGTGCTGGGATTAAAAGCGTGGCCCACCAGTGCCTGGACTCTATGGCTAACTAGTGTGGCTGGCTGGGATTAAAGGTGTGTGGCAACACTAGCTGACCTATACGGCTAGTGTGGCTGTTTTGTGTTCTGATCTTCAGGCAAGCGTTAGTTATTAAAATACAATTGAAATGCCCCTGCATTTCTCCTGTTTGTGTAAAATAAAAAAGAAGGATATAACTAATATAAGAAAACTACATACAGTAAGTACAATAACTATAATATATACAGGTAATAAATATATCAACAATGTCTAGTCCATTTGCATTTGACAAATTCAGAAAAAATACTAAATATTTATCCTATCTTAGTGAGTCCAAAGTTTGTACCCAAATTACTTTTTATAATAACTTGCTTTCTGTGCCTGGTAAACAAGGATTTCGATTGTAGTTTAATAAATAAAGCTTGCTTGGGTATCAGGAAAGAAACACAGCAGTCTGAGAACAGGGTTCAGGGAAAGCCTACAACCCATGGTGGAGAGAGAGAGAGAGAGAGAGAGAGAGAGAGAGAGAGAGAGAGAGAGAGAGAGAGAGAGAGAGNGAGAGAGAGAGAGAGAGAGAGAGAGAGAGAGAGAGAGAGAGAGAGAGAGAGAGAGAGAGAGAAAGCTGTCTGAAAACGCACAGGGGATTGTTCAGAAAAAGCATGTGAGGTGGGGGGGGGGGGACTGCCTGAATGCAGAACCAGCCAGTCGAGTGTGCATGAGTCCTGTAGCATTTAGAACACGGGTGCTTCTGGAGTTTGGTTGGCAGCTGGAGACTGCTTCAGGAAGTCTACAACACGAAAATCCCAAACTCACACAGAGTCTTGGGGAAAAAAGAAAAGAAAGATTAGTTGAGTGTGGCTGGAGCCCTATGTGAAGCTCTGGCCTGTGCTGGTGGCTAAAAAGCCTTGGGCAAATCCCTTTTTCATGAATTTGTACCCCAAACATTGGGTACCAATTGTAGCACGAATAATAAAAACCCAGAGACAGATACTGGGGTTCAACCTGAAGATCAGAAAAGCAAAGCAGCCAAGCCACTAGAGAGCTCTTACCTCTATGAAATCTTTAGACTGAAAGAGAGAGTTCATGTCTCATCCCACTTTATATTCCCCTCTAGTGCTGGGGTTAAAAGCGCACCCCACCACCATCCGGCCTCTATAGCTAACTAGTGTGGTTTCTGGGATTAAAGGTGTGTGCCACCACTGCCTGGCCTGTATGGCCGGCTAGTGTGACTGTTTTACATTCTGATCTTCAGGCAAACTTTATTTATTAAAATACAAATAAAATATCACTACAATATACTTCCTTTTTTATAAAAAAATTAAGACTACACCTTTTCAACTTAGACAAAAAATAAAGGGGTTAGTATCACAAACTGTATAGTGCTTCTCCCGGTATAGTTTGAGGACTAATCCTCAGATACACTCCACTATACGCAGCAGGCTTATCTATATATAGGCTGTTTCCAGTCAGGACAGTATGTTAGCACTTGGATACCCTGTCTTCAACCTGCTTAGCAAGTTAGGATTGCAGTGTCTACATTGGGTTCCCAAAATGCTCCCATGTGGGCCCCCTTACAGGTGTTCGTTAGGTACCAAACCAAAATATCAGTAGGCTTTTGTAGAAGTGATCAGGGACCCATTCACATAATAATGTCTATTCAAGAGTAAAATCCGAGTTTGGCCCTCACGTCACCAAGGTGGAGAATGGGCCTCAATCTCTGAAAATTTCTTACTGTCCACTATGTACTAAGAGGTGGCCCTCTCCTCTGTTCTTCCTGGGAGTCCTATCAGATGTAGGGAAAGTTTAACAGGGCCACCAGATGTCACTGTTTGAAGAGATCTTCCGGTTTAGGTTCCAAGTCCTAAAAAAAGCCGTGAGGGAGCAGGCAAAGCTGCACATGTTAGCACGGACCTTTGACTAACACTTCTCCATGACAAGCTCTTGATTTCACCCCAGTCCCCACCTGCTGAGGAGACTAGTATCAGAACCAAGTGCTGGTCTGCCGTCTTCACACTTGCTCTACTTTCAGCTTGCACTATTGAAGGTCATGTTAGAATCAAGCAGCTATAGATGTTTCTTGAGTGAAGGAACTGGCTGAATCCAGCTTCCCTTATGTTTAGTCGAGCATGATTGAGAGCAACTTAAGAAGAAACTCCTGAGGCATGGAAGGTTTCCCGTGGGAGCTATGCAGATGCTGTGTGCGCTGTTTATACAACTCGAGTGCTGTCTAGATATGAGGATCCTTTCTTAGACCAAAAAATTATCAAGTAAGAATTTGAGCCCAAATCTGTCTGACTCAGATACTTTTCACTGGACTAGATTATGAAAAGAATCTACATTCGCCAGCGAACATCTACTGGGGGTTCTTATCTAAAGGTCACAGTCTGACTCAGCCCGTGAAAACCTAGACTTGAGCTCAGTTTTGCCGTCATATGCTACACTTGAATTTCTGGAAGGACCTGTATTTTGTTAGCTGAGACTGGAACCGTGGTGACGCTGATGCTGCCCCCTACCTCTTACAGAGAAACATTTCAGAGCATTAGATTTTTATATAACAGGGAAGGGCTCCTGTTTGCGTTGATGTTGATAATTTTATGTAAGATGGTATGTGCTTTCGAAAGAGTAACAAAAAGAAAATTGGAGTGAAAACAAGCAAAGGCTTCCAGGAGCTTCGAACAGGGGATATCAGGGCCCCGAGGGAGCAAACTGGTTAGTCAGATGTTGGCTTGATTTTTGTCAGCACAAGTTCTACTGGTGAGTGGAATGCCAAGTACAGTGTTTCACGTGCTTCGTGAAACCACAATGCAGGAACTCCTAGGACACCTCAGAGATGTCTGGCAGAACCATGATGGCTTCATTGGTAGGCGACCATTGACTTTTATATAAATGGGAAAGGTCAAATCAATAAAAAGAATTGGACCTCCCTTAACGCACTTCTAAGTCCTGGTAAATTTTGCACAGTCTCAGGATTGATTGTACAATTTTTTCTTCAATATTAAAAGAAAATGCCTAGGCATGCACACTCCAAATATATGCTCACAGACTTGAACATGTTTCAAGGCTATACAAATATTACTCCCGAACAGGGAAGAAGAGAAATCAGCCAACTGTAAACACTTTCACTATGCAGGTAGAGGCATGAGGGAAGCATTACTCACCCATTCCCATTGCTCTCGCCTGAGTGAGCAATTACAGCTTTAAGGCCACAGGAAGTCCTTGTCTCTCCTCTGTTAGCTTATTACTCAACACCAGGCACTTTATGTTTTCCCTATCCTGTGGTCGGCACAGTTCACAATAGCGTATTATGCCAGCAATACTAAACACTAAGACAGGCCTCTTCCGTGGGAACATTCTCTTGAACTAGTGGGACAGACCTTTGTCAACAAAGACCAGGTAGGTTGGACTGTCATCCCTTTTCCCTCTAATGTTTGTATGGAATCGTTAGTATTAGTGACAGGAATCTTTTGGGGTTGGAAAAGTGGTAGTCTGTGGTTGTATTGTGAAAGCTGATCTGGAAAAGATGTGTGTGTGTGTGTGTGTGTGTGTGTGTGTGTGTGTGTGTGCATGTGTATGTGCACATGCACAGGTATCTATGTTGAGTGTAAGAAGGTAGGGCAAGAAACCAAAGAACACAGCCACTCTCTGTGGAAAGACAGAACAGCTTTAAGAATAAGCAA